ATATAACGCATACACATGTACAAGTACACGAGGGTGCACGTATCTAACAATAAGGAACAGTCACAATGATCCTGCCTAGCGCTTACATACCTTTTTTTACACATTGTATCATAGTATGCCAGGAATCATTTGTCAGCTGAAGTCGCTTTCACATTATTACGGTTTGCATAGTTGGTTGTTTCTGAATCTAGCTATTAAGTGTACACGAGTACGGTTGCAAGTTTTTGGGTTAACAGCTGAAGCGAGGTTCTACTTCGGATCTACTAGCTCAGTATTGAGATGAAAAATGGTAGTGAATGTATTTGCATGATGCGGCCTTGCTTGTTGTACGCTGGTCAGATACTACATCTATGAGATTCGTATGTATGCTCCTATGTTGCACAATATACACATTTCGTTGTAATTTTCCCGAGAAAGGAGCAAGTTTCACGTATGTTCCGCTACACTCTGTTCTCCTCAGTGCCTGATATACACCCAAAAGAATCTTGAGATATATGTACATAATTTCTATGCAGGAATTTATCTATTTATTGAAGCTATCTCAGTGTAGCTGCTGAAAGAGATGAAAGTCTTTCATATTCTCCTGATACGAATTACTTATCTTCGATCTCGATTACCCCTGCAGCTTTAGCTAGTGAAGTCCGCAAACCCTTATACAGAGGGTTGTGTGCTAATTTTACACATCAGGTAAAGCCGTGAAGGTCAGAAGTGCACACCACTAACACTATCGCAAGAGCTATGTGCTGTGCGAACTCATCTATAATAAATCATGAAATTGTTGTATGTTTTTTTTCTTTTGACAAAAGACATGCTCAAATCTTTATCAAAATTCAAAGTTCAAACTCATTTGCCACATAATTAGAAGTTCAGAACAATAGCTGTTAAAAAATATTGCCTTCTACATATGATAAAATTTTCGAGCAACGTGTTTGTTATCTGTCAGAACAACTTCTGGGTTGTCCAAAACTCCAACTCCATGACTCATATTTAAAAAATATTAAAAATATATTGTTCTGTACTTCTAATTCTGTGGCAAAAGATGTTGCAAAAGATGAGGTTTAAATTTGGAGCACATCTATATCCATTTTTTAAAAACGTACTCTAAGAGCAAAGAAAATTATATGCAACAAAAATTAACTTGCAAACGCCCGGCCAAACAGCCAAACATTCAAACAGCTGACATACTGCATTTATAATTTTATATACATACAGACATATTCATAGAAAATAGATATTACATACATACTCCCAATGAATACACATGTACTGCAATAGACTGAAAACTTGAAAAAAACTCAAACGAGAGATAGAGTATGATTAGTTGATTACTGATTAGAGTTTACTCTAGTTTGGAGACCGTTAGTAATCTTAACTGATTATGTGCATAGCTGATAGCTCTCTTTGGTAAATTTAGAGAGACTGAGACACTGAGAATAAATATTTTTACAGTATTTTTTTTTTAAAATACATAATTTTGGTATGTAACATAAAGTTCAACATATTTTTCTAAGAAAATTGAACAGATGCGAAATCTTGCAGAAAGTTCGTTTGTTCCAAAGACTCCAAGAGTTCAAACTTTATATAAAAACTAAAAAACTAAAAAGGCAAGTCTAGTGGTGGCGGGTATATTATAGTTGAGCATAGTAACGGTAGTCATTGAAAAACTATTTGTATTTATTACTAAATATTTTGTCAACATAGCTCCGCCTCTTGTTTTGGACAATATTTTCTGCTATTTATATATTTACAATCGATACCTGGTCGCATCCTCCAATGTAGAGCCCCAAAGGCTACACCTTCACAAATAAACCTCTGAATTCGAGCCATTGTGATTGTGCACAGGCTGAGTTTAAACGACATCAGTCGCATATAACCATTTCAGTAGCATTTGGCCACAACGTAAAGTACCACTACGACTCGAAACCGTGGTTGAATAATAGTATCAAGACGATGCACGGGCGGGTCCGGGCTGCTTTCATGCGTGGAGGTATTGATTCAATCTGCGGAGAAGCGCAGAAGCCTCTGTTTTGCACAAATTAGCCGGTTGCTACTAGCTTGTATTCGAGCCCTGTGTGGATCCATGCGTATATGCTTGTATATATGTAAATATATGTATATACATATATATATATATA